GGTGCATTTAAAATTATAAAAATAAGGTATATATAATTTAATAGTTGGAACTAGGATACTTTGTTTTTTAATTTATGTTTGATCATTGTATTTACAATTACCTTCAATTAAAGTGAATTCTGAACAATTTTCTGTATTTTAAACCAGAATTTTATTGAAAATAATTAATAATAAGATGCCCCACTAAAATCTGTGTCATTGATAAATTATGTTTTTATTAAAATTATGTACTTAAACTTTTGTTATGTATATCTAATCAACCATTAAAAACTGTTAATGTTAAGAKCATGATTGTAATTAGTATATATCAAATACCAAAAATTGTTGATTATAATTTTTTTTTTAGTATATATATATATAAATTAGATTTTTTTTTATTGAATTGGTGCCAAAATTTAGAACTTAGTGTCAAAAAAATGTCAGTTATAATTTGTTGCTCAATTATCGCAGTAATTATGATTTAAGTTTTCACCTTAACTTATTATTTTTAACAGTTTACTTATTATCTGTTTCATATATATTTTTTTTTTTTGTTATTTTTTTTATGAAAATGTATTAGGGACCAATTTGTCTTATCACCGACAGATGAAAAATATGGTACACATAAATGAACAATTGACTAGAAAAAGTTAATAAAATTATATTTCAAATATGTTGTTAAAGATTCACAGATATTATATTAGGTGCTCTTCTAAAATTTATTTTCTAAAATCTAGTTTCAAAAAAAATTATGAAGTTTGTTTAAAAAAAAATTAAAAGTTGAATATATTAGTTGTATCATGTTTATATATTTTATTTGTGTGCAATGTACCTATATTTGTTTGCAACACATTCCTTAAAATATACTTTGATTGTCTAATACTTTGTCTGTAATGAGATATTGTTTATAATCGCTGATAATACAAATTATTGAGTTGAGTTTTCAATTTTGGCGTTTTTTTTAATGTTTATTTTATTTGAAAAAAGTTGTTATTATAATTTTTAAGAATTCTTGTTTTATTTGAAATAAAATTATTTTGATTTTGTTTGTTTGAAATGATTATTGAATTCATCCGTAAGTCGTAACCCGTAATAATCACAATGATCATCTTGTTTTTATAAATCCTATATTGTGCTTAATAGTCTTGGGATAAACTGGGTAGTTTTAAATTCTGCTTTTAATCCTAATAAGGCAGTATACAGAATGACCACCAAGTATGTTTGACCTTTTTTTTTCTTCAATAGGAGTAGACTGAATAATTTAACTTTTGGTACTAAGGATTAATGATTACGGGTTTAAAATTATGATGGTCTACGATGACTTGATAGCTTTAGTAATTGATACCCTCAACATTTATGATTTGTAAAAATGATCCAAGTAAATTGTATCAGCTACTGGGTGATTGGCCAGAGGTTCTTGGATTTTTTTCAATATTATGAACTCATAACCAAATGATAAAACTTGTATTTAAATCACTAAATATTCGTAACTCAGGCGTTTCAAGTTATTATTGAACTTATGACAAAATCTGGTTTATACAACTCATTGTGCATATTATTATTCTAATATTCATGCACAAATTTTGAATGTGAACATTGTGAACAAGCATTTTATAAACCAGCTTTAGATTTTTGATGAATCAACAATAACTGGATCCTTCAACTTGTATGATTAGTGAAGAAGTCGTCATTCAATTTAAAAACAGAAAGAATTATTGATATGTTTGGATCTTTAATCCATGATTTAAAAATAGTTTATACTATTTAAATTATAATTTATAATTTATTTTACTAAACTAATATTATTTATTTTTTTTTTTGTTATCCTTATGGCATAATTTTTTATTTTATAAAATAAATTATGTATTATAAAATTGATTATTTTATATTTTTATGAAGACAAAAACTATGTTGTATTAAGCTAGATCAAATAATAACATTTTTTAAAATAAATTCAAAATTATATCATGGTGAAAGTTTTTAAAATCTAAAATATAACATCAAAGAGTTCATTTAAAAAACTTAACTTAATCATAAAAATAGGTGCCTGTTATAATTATATTTTCATTATTTTAGGTTCCCTAACTTATTTGGGGATTAAGCAGTAATTTTTTGTTAAATAACTCTTTTTAAACAGTTTTCTATTTAAATATTTACTTTTTCCGTTTTTTGAAAAAAACCTATTACTTTGCGGCACCTATGGGTAATTCAAAAATAAATGATATATAGTTTGGTAACCATTAATACTTGCAATTTTACTAAATATATATATATTAATATTTTTGCAAATTATGTTTAAAAAAATACTTGTTTTTTTAAAGCTATTTGTAGAAATTGATATTTAAAACTTTTTCGATTTCTGTTAATCAATAATTTTCTTACTTAAAAATTTCAAGGATCTTTATACAAGGTTCCTCATAAATTGTTTTTATAGTTATTAATAATATTTAAAATACACAATTGTGATTTAAAAGCTGATCAGCCTCGAGGCTTAAAAATGTAGAACAAGATTTTTCATAAAATTAAGTTTAAAAGAAAGTTTGCTTTAAGCCAAATTAATTTTTTTGAGCATTTGAGGTACCTATTGATTTTGACGGAATTGAATATTTGAATGAAAAATAATTATATTCACTATTTTAATTCCAAACATGGTTATCTATTTACTTTTATTTACAAAATTAAATTTCAAAATATTTAGACTAATGTCATAACTCATAAGCATGTTACAAACGCATACCCAAATGCATACATAGCATTTTGGACTTCGGTAAATACAATATATAAGTATATGACCAATGAATACGTATAGTACACGAATCACAATGCCTCTTAAGTCTACATTATATTGTGTATTTACCTAGTCGTAATGTCGTATGGGTTATCAAATGGTGGACCGACCGGATATAGGTATATAATATGTACTATATATACATTATACAGCGATACGGACCACGATCGTTTTTTTTTAACATGACCTCAATGTTTGCGCAAATAAATTATTATAACATATATACAAGTAGTTCCTATAGGCTTGTAAGACGATCAAAAAAAAATGTTACGGTTG